GCTGCTTCAATTTATTGTGGGATTAGAAACAATGAGTGGGGTCAAATGGTCCCTTCTTGTCATAATGTACCAACCCTCGTTGGCGTCTGTTATGACGTCACTCGCACGACCGAAATTATCAGCCGTCCATTTGCTTTTCGACCGCCTGCCCAATCATGATTTCTCTCGATTGAATCAAGAGAAAATTATTCTGTCCACTCGTACGCGAGCTCTCAACTTTTTATTCGTTCGTTAATAGGGGACTCTAGGATTTTGTTCTCGGACAGGCATTTCGATTAATTGTTTCTATATCAGATTAGAATGCGAAAAGAGATTAATATTTGTGCGCATAAACCATAGTGCGATTCATTTTAATTAATCGTCTCAGAAATGATATTTTATCAAAAATTGATCAGTTTTTCCAGATAGTGAAGAATGTTAAATCTTAAATTTAATTAATTTTATATATAGCAATATTTATAATTTATATTAAATCCATATCTTAAACTTTTATTTAGCTTCAAAAATGTTTGAGATGATATTTTGTATCTTTTATCTGAAAAAATTTCCTTCTTTTCCTTTTTTTTTTTCTACAAAAAGATTTAAAAATTTTATTTTTCTACGGAATGTTAATATATTTTTTTCTTCTAAAATTAATTCTAAAGGTAGAAAACAAATAGAAAAGTTGATAGGGAAAAATGTCGGTTCAAGCTTATTTATTTAATTATAGTCATAATTTAATTTTACGTTAGATAAAGCGAGACGGACATAGAATGACTTGGTGCGCCGCACCGTGGCGCGGAAACGTAACAAAGATAAGGCTATCTCGCTCTAGTTATCTCCGTCTCACTTTATCTAATGCAAAATTCAATTATTATTATTATAAGTTAATTTTCAACATAATCACAATTTATTTCATTGCAAGAAAAAAGAAATATTACTTGTAAATGTAATTATTACAACTAATATACGACAAAAATATCAGATTATTTTAAATTTTCAAAATATAAAAATCGCACTATCGCGAGTCGAAGAATCACGGAATTGCGTTTCAAAATGTGTTTTTATCAGGTCGATAGAAATCAAAAATGGAAATAGAAACATAATAACAATCATTAACGATCATTAACGAAGTTACGAAGCTATTTGTGTGAATTAATCAGTTTATAGAAATGAAAACAACTAACCAATTCTGACAATAATACCGCGGCTTTTACTTTTATTCATACCAATAAATTTCATGTAATCTTGGCAAATAAAAGAATCTTGGTATTGAGGTTTTCATTGCATCAATATTTCCTTTTATCAACGATGAATGGTTGTATTATTAAATGCATAAGAGAATCTTTGTCGTGTTTACGTGCTGTCAATGAATAAAGGAAATTACTTTAATTTGTAAGGAAAATATGTACAGTATCGTGCAAAAGTTCGATAATTATTAGATGATAAATTGGATCAAATACTCGAATATTTTAATAATAATAATTGTAGTGATATGTAAATTGTAAATGGTTATGGTATATAACCATAAATATAAATTTTCATATTATATTTTAAATTGTTAATCGAAAGATTAAAATCAAAATCGGATTCTAAATATTATTCTTCTTTCTTCTTTTTTTTTCATTCAATATAATAACTTTTTCAATTTTAAAAGTCGGTCATAAAATCGATCAATTTCCTATCCAGATTTCAGAATAACGAACATTCGAATCGATTTGTTCGCACGAATGTAAAAATTCGATAATAGTATTCACGCTAGCGATTCCTAGGTCCATGTAGACATTCATAGCGTGTACCGTTCGATAAGAGGAATTGACGCCAGCGAGGGATGATAACAACGATCAATTTTTTTCCACGATTCGGTTAAAAGTTATCGGTCAGACTAACGCGCCTAACCCCTTTCTTTTATATCATCCCACATTGTGAGATTTATCACAAAAGTCTGTTTTCATTTGATTGTTGTGGAAGCTATGTAGAATTACACGCCATTCTTTATTATTATTTTTTACCATACAACGGCGCATAAGCAATAAATTCATAATATTATTTTCTTTGATTTCAATTTTTATCTCTTTTTTCTTTTTCTTTTTTTAAAAATAAAAAAGAAAAAAAAGAAACTTTAAAACGAAGCACAAGTTTCGAAATAGTTTCGAATTGTGAAAACGTACGTGTTAGAAAGTGGAGATATTTTGAATATATCAAGATTATTTCTTTTTTTTCTTTTATCATTTCTATTTTATTTAAATTCTTTCTTACGATGATATGAAAAAATATTTCCTATATATTCATCTTATGTATTCAAATTTATGTATATCTAATTTAATTAATTCTATTAATTAATATATTGTGCATAATTTCAATTCTAGTTTTTTACAAGTAGAATTAAAATCTTCTAGAATCATTATAATTAATTAATTTAATTTTCTAAAACGTCTAAAATATCTTAATAACAATTTTTTCTAAATGAATAAAAATATACATCGATCGATATGCAAGAAAAATAATTTTATTTAAAAATAAACGAAATGATGTTAGACATGCTTTCATTTTTGAAAACATACACGCGCATTAGGATATTCTTCGCTCAAAATTATTCAAATACATTTTTTTCCATAAAAGTCTTTTATAAATAATGAAAGTTATTGTCTAATCGACAATAAACAACAAACAAAAGAAAATAAAAAAATGAAAAAAGAAAATAAATAAAATATATGTAATTTTGACTTTCATTTTATCAAATATATTATATTACTTTATGCCATCGTTATTCTTCTCTTCTTTCGTCATTTCGTTCAAAGAAGTATCGAGCAAGATTATCCGTATCTTCCTTTTCTCGAGACACGAACGAGACACAAACATTTCACTTGGACGAAGGCTGATTGGTTTGATCGATCGATCCGAGAAGATATATACCATTTATTGAGCGCATATAATTATAAACCACGAGGATGGCATCGTAGCCGGCATTATTTATACATATATGTACCACCGTTATCGACGTTGGTTACGTTCGTGTTATTTAAATTAATTTCGCGATAACCTCGAAGAAACAAGGATAACCCTTTCGAGGATAAGATGGCCAACTCGGGAAAGGAAGAATTACAATGGCATCTTTTACGAATCGAACGATTGAACGATTTTGCGAATATAGCGAAGGTACGTTACCAATTTTCTCGAGATAGTAATGAAAAAAAATCGAACACCTTATGACGAACAACGATGATTTTATCGTCCGACGATTGAACTAGCATACGGAAGCAATAATACAAGATTGGAAATAGAATTTAGTTTGAAATTGAGGTTGGACGTAATAGATATTACCGACTGAATAAAAAATAAAAGGGGGCATTTTATGGCGTTGATCTGGTGCGTTTGAGACACACGCGATACTATCAACGGCCAATGGATTCATCCGAATAGATATACCGACGTACGAAATTCAGTTAAAGCCGGGGAAAATTGCGAGCGAGCCGTATGCGGCCCCTTCGAAATGCAAAGTTATTCCGCATACACATTCCCACAATTTCTTTCGTAAGGGGTTCAACGTCCTCTTGCCGCCCCGATTTAATTGGCATCGCCGATCGCCGCCGGAAGTTTGAATTTCAAATGCGTTTCTCGCTCAAGAATAACGCGGCCAACGAAAACGATTTGACGCGGTACCGTTAAACTTTTCCTTTTTTCATCAATTTCGAAAAATAGATCGATCCAACCAGTGTGAACCCTTTGTCCTCTTCTCCCTCTTTTCTAACCACGCTTTTTGATCCATTCACGTGCTACGCTACGCTCCAACTTTTATAATCCTCCTCTATAATACCACCTCTTCGTTAATATTACGTGTATATATATAGAAAATATCGGTTCAGCTTTATTCATATCAAGTTATAAACAATTTTCAAATTTACGTAACGAGACACAAATAAAGTGAGATAGATCTATCTCTGTCACATCATCGTCTTGCTGAATAGAAGTATAAAATATATATGATATTCGATAAATTTAATTTTCTTTTTTTTAATTCCTTTGTTAAAAACTAAAATAGTGACGTGAATAATTATCATATAAAGAAAAAGCAATATTTTTAAAAATTAATTCGATTGATATATAATCAAGGACAATTCATTCGTTGATTGATAATCATCGATGCGATGATTATATAATTATTGAAATGCCAGCCAAATTTCTTTAATAGCGAATAGAAACTCGACATAATTGGAAATGTAAGAATTGTGGGAAAAAAGATCGATCGCAAACGAAACGGAGCCATCTTCTTTTTCCTTGCAAATTTCTCACTTCTCACTTTCACGTTTTAAGAAATTAATGAAAAGAACCTGATGAAATACGTCTTTCATTCTTTCGACAAATATATATGTAGTATGTTAAATATCTTCAATTTTCAAATTTTTAATACTCGAGTTTAACAATAATAATGATTTTTTTAACCAAGTTTCGCAAGTGTTTAAAAAAATACACGCGCGTCTTCAAATAAATTAAAACAATAATAATAAAGAAGAAAATAACGTAAACTAGGTACAGTTAAATATAATTTCGTTTTATCGATTCGTAAAGTAATGCTCATAAATAATATCAGCATAAAAAATTCTTGTATCGTGCTTTCTAACAAGCAAATGGTCGAGAAAGGGACAAAGGTATTACATATAACCACGGGTTGGAAATTCAAATGTTGGATCTTTATCATTGACTCCCGGAGACATTGATTCGTGGCGCGCGAGTCTCTCTGTCGAGATGAGATTATCTTTCGTCAAACGGGAAACGTCACAATCTTTGCTCTAACTTGTGCTTATGCGCGATTAAATTTAACGGGGTTTATAAACTCTTTAATTATCTCGCCAATTTCGAGTAACAAGAAGAGATGTACGATCGAGAAGATCTTGAGAATATGTGTATCTTCAAATATTTTTCTCGGAATAACATTTTGTAAATAAATTATAATTTTGGTAAATACGTACGATCCTTTTTTACGTTCGATCCTCAATTATTTTCTAAACGCACAGCAAGGAAAATGCTCGAAAAATGAATGATCGTTATCGATTTTTATTTTATTCGCATTAATATTTGTAACGCTAGTCCAACGACATGGCACGAGCGAACAGAACGAATTTAACAAATCGAGAGACCTTATCGCACGATGATAAGATACACGGAACAGAAATAAACGTTGAAAAATTTCCGTTTCGACTTATGATGGATGAAACGAAAACGATGGGTGCACAGTTGAATCGGTCGCGAACAAGCTTGGAGCACGATCAGTGAGTGGGTCGATTTCGTCTAACTAACGTTCCCAAAGCTCCTCGGGACATCCGTTCTTATCGCCGATACCGTAACTAAAGCGGCAGAACGGGGCGCCATATTGGGAGACCGAGAGAACGCCTTCTACCCCTTTCCTCTGATAGCAGAACAAAGGAAATACGCATACATGGTAAACGATAGTAAAGTGACTTTCAGTTGGGACCAAACTGACCAACTTCTGATTAACAGACTAATTATTTTCTTTTAAAAATTATACAGATATTATATGTATGATCGTATGTTTTCACGTCACAAATTTAAAATTTGTCAAGAAACGAAATCGATGGCTCGTTCCAATGATTGGTTCCGAATCTATTTTACAAGCGAAAGAAGCGAAATATTTACCGACAAATACCCATCGAAAATGATAAATGATGGCGCAAAAAGCGATCGAGGCATTCGATCGACGTTAAGCTAAACAACGAAGCTAAATAACGGTGAGCGAGTCGACGAACAAAGAAGAAGGCGAGCAAGACGTGAAATTGGGAACCACTGTCGAAGATAACCAATGGTCCAGAGTGGCGCACACGCGTGCTCGTACACGCACGTATACATCCTTGCACGTGTACACGCAGACAGATGGCGCTTGTATGAGATCCGTGTAGTTCCAAGAAGCGTACAGTCGTCGGAAAAAGTGACGGGTTCTTCAATGTCGGAACTGGGAGCCGCGGGGGTGGAGGGCGAGCAAGAGAAGTTGATGGAAATGTACGCATTACCAGTCGAGCATATTCATGAAAGTTTCTTGACATCGACGCCGTTGCAGGCGAATGACCAAACAGAACCCAGGAGGTCCTCGATTGTGCAAAGAAAAATGTACGTATTGTCCGTCTGATCGAGCATCGCATCTTGAACTAACCGAGTTGTGAGTTGGATTTCTTTTTGATTAGAAATGGCAACGTATATATTGATGCTTCGAAAATGAAATGCAGCGATATGAGAATTCCTCCAGGGCTTATATTTTATACAAGTTATAATAAATGAAATGAAAATATCGTTGATATATCGATAAAAAAAAATACATCGATATTTCTATCACTGATTATTCCGAGATTTGATACTATTTTGTATATGTATAAGGAATAAATACTATAGATAATTGTTAAGCAACGATTTTATTGGAATTAAATATTGTGTGATTTTTAATTTTTAGAATGAATTTTTTTTTAATGTACCTTTGAAGTATTTTATTGTTATAATTGAATTCGTACGCGTTATAATAATAAATACCATTTATTATGAGAATCACACTATTATTTACGTTTATCGTGGTGGATAGTGATCCAAATGTTTCTTATTGTTTGTTTTGTAACATTGTTGCAAAATTCTGGTTGAAACGACGATGAAGAAAAAAAGAATATTAAACAAATTCTTAAAATTCATGTATATATAACGATTTTTAAAAATATCGTACAATAGGAAATAGAAAGAAAGAGAAGAAAAGAGGTTGAAAAAAATGAAAGATCGCGTTATACGCAATCTTGGGCCTTAATGGATAAGACGTCTCCGTGTTATCTAGGTTGTAACCCCTTATCTACTGCACACGGTTCGCTCTACGGGGCGATCGACTCTCGAAACACGGACAAACCGTGGTCGATGCCGCGACTCGACTGTTCGAATGGTTCTCCCTCTTTTTACTTTATTTCCGTATCCGCCAGCATGAAAGAAGGATATTCATGAATGTTTTTTTACCCAGGCCAGTCCGACATGAACGTAAAGGGATGGTGAGCGAAGAAACAACGGACCGTTTGTGCATTTTCTGGTGACGTTCACCAACCAACCGGTCGACGCGTCGTCTCGAAGGGCGTCACGTCACCTTTTATTCCCGTCTATTTGCCCTTTGATAAAGTTTGAATCTTTAGAGTTTGATCGTAAAAATAAAATAAAAAGAAAAAAAAAGAAAAAGGAAAGAAAAGGAAAAACAAACGAAAAATAAACAATAAAAATGTTATAGAAAAATATTCGCATTCGTTAATAATTCGTGTAACGAATTAAAAATTCTTTGACGTTATAAATTATTTTCTTCTTTATTTTTTACCATATCTAACCTTTATTCAATAAAAATATTGAATCGCGCATCTTTTACATTATCTTGTTTAATTAAAGATTCAAAAAACACGACATAAATGTAACATGTGAAAAGCAGCTGTTGTTTTTAACAAACAACAACATGCATCCCGATAAGTAATTTTTAAATATAATAAAACTACGTTGTTGAATCAACTTATCGAATTTTTATTTATTTATATTAAATGAAAAATCGCTATTGCAATTTACAATCTATCCTATTTTTTTTTTTTTTTTTTTACTTAATAATTATTTTACTGCATTTGGGGGGTTTTCGTTGACGTCGCGCATTCTTCGCATATCTGTTTACGTTCCATATAATAAGTATTTTCGTAATAGTAATAATGATAAAATCTTTCCCCATTCAATAGGGAGATCGACCTCTTCGATCGATCGCTGTGTAATTCGATACTCTTTCGCTGTCGTGTCATCATATTCGTGTGATTTTTCGATATCGATGAAAATGAGCAAATACGATATAATTAAAATAATTTTCGATAATAATAGTATCGTGAATCTATGTTTATTTATCTTGCCTCACTACTTACATTTCTTGCATTCTTTTCTCATTCTTTTTCATTCATATCGTTTATTCTCATTCGGTCGTATATTCTTTTTCCTTGTCAAAACAATTTTTGCGGAACAAAAGCGTAAGGCAAAAATTGAAGACAAACTTCCAAACTTCGAACCGTGTCGCGAAATTATCGCTTCGTTGATTAACAATCGCATGCCGTTTCTATAATTGGCAAACGTTACTTCTAAATTGGTGTCATCCAATATTCTATTCAAACAGTGCGTTCGTTTCTTCTTTGTTTTTTCTTTTTAATCGATTAATATTTTCCAAAATTGCGATCACGAATCATATCATTCACATTTCGTATAAATTATATTAACACTCCTGTATAAATAGTTTGATTATTTTCAAAATTTGATCAAGAAGTAAATGTGAAGAAAGAAAGGAAAAAAGAAAAGAAAGAAAATAGGTAGTAAAATCACACATCGCGTGCAAATAAAAGATAAATTCGCGCGATAAAAGACGCGAAATTTGAAAACGAAAAGACTGCCATGGTCGATTACGAAACAATCCGGACTAATTTCTTTACACAAGTATGTCGGTTATCGTTACTTTTTTCGTATAAAATTATCGATGCTCGTTCGGCAACAGTGTGAACACGATATCGTTGAATTTCTTCGGCATCGAATTCGCGTGTCGCACGTTGCACTTTCGCGTCATGTAGCCTGACATCTTCGCGTAAACAAGATTCGATTTATGCAAACGGAAACCAACACTCAGCAGAAATGAAAGCGACAATCGATAAATCTTTTCCGTTTTGTATCCTTTGAAAATGCAAATGTTTCACGGAAAGCATATTTTCATATTATTATTATTATAAGCTTTATCATTTTATTTTCACGGTAAAAATTCGCTTCGATCGAATACAGAATCGGATTTAAAATATATCAATTTGATCATACGAATAACGTATGAAATTTATAAAATATATATATTTAATTACTTTTGCACTTACTGGTATTTTATTATTACTAAAAATGCGATAAATATTAATCGATTCAGATCAATGAGCCTCTATATGAATTTCGAAAAAAAAAAAAAAAAAATAAGCAAAGCGACACTAGAAATTTTTAAGAAAGAATTAACGAAGAGAACGAAAGAGAGAAGGAAAATATGAATTTTAAATTGTGCGCGAAGAATTGATGGGAAAGAAATTGGGCAGCGTGTACAAAAGGCATATAGGGAACGATTTCCGTTTCGAAATGATGATCACTGAACGGATTGCTCTCTCCTTCTTTGTTCGTCAATGACGGCCGCTCGATCCACCACGTGGTGTTGGATCACGTGTGTGTATGCAACGTAATGTACACGCGTACGCACGTGATGCACGTTTCGTACTTACTTATACGTGCTCGCAGGTATATATCGGTTGCGAACGCCTCGACCAGCAAAACGGATTCTCCTTTGTTCGCCAATGAACGTGCAACCACGTGACCACAGGGTCAGTCTGCCCTCTGGTCCACTTCATCTTAATTGCGTGGATAGGGAGGTTCTTAACCTTGCCACTGGAAATTGCTTTCTTCTCTCCTCCTTTTCTATGCGTTTCTACACCATTATAAATCCACTTATAACGTATTCAATAACGAACGAATTAATTTTTTTCACAGATTTGATTCGCACAATTTTGCTCGTTTGAGATTTCTATTTCGATACGTTTAATGAAACGTATGCGAAATAATTGTTCGCGTTAACGAATCATTTAAATTTATTTCTCTTATAGCGGTATTGAAAGCGGGCAATAAGTGATTCGCGTATCGTTTCTCGGATGGATTTTTGCCCGAAGAGAATACAAGACAAATCGTTATTCCGCTAAAATTACACGGACCACGGCGGGGTGTAACCCCGCAACGGGAGTTTGAGCTTGTGTGTTGCAGGAACAACCGCGGCCAACGGATCGATTCTGGATGTAACTCGTTACGATTCGCCCGTAAATAACATCGTAACCAGTTCGAACGTGGATGTCTCGCTCTTCTTCTTCGCAACCGATTGAAATGTAATCGGACCAAAATAGCCATCTTCTTGATCGCAATGAAAAACCAGTTGGAAAAGGAGAAGAATTTTTAATATAATAACAGAGATTTTTACGCAAGGTTGAACGATAAATTTGTTAATAACGATTTTTTCTTTGCAGTGGACGAAAGATAACAAGGTTATAAGAAGTATCGCAAGAATATAAGTTCGTCACAAATAATATCTTACACAAATTCGTGACAAATTTGCGATTAGAGTACAATTTCTTCGCTTGTTCGTACGTTTTTTGAAAATTTCAAATTTTTTTAACAAGAATATTTAGCTTCGCAATATATTATTATGGTATAATTAGAAATATACATAAATGAAACTGTTTAATCGAATCAAAATCGCGTAAAAAAAAGATGCGAAAATTATGTAATTAACCAGGCAACGAAGGACACGTTATTGTATCTCTTATTTTCCAGCCACGAAGCAAACAGCCACTTAGCAAAGCAGAGTCAATCGGGAAGGAAATTGGCAGATAGTTGGTAAAACAAACGTTACCTTGAGAACAATAGAGATGAGACGATGAGACGAGCGTTAAACGACGTTATCGACGAGAGATAGGGAGGATGCGAAATGATCTTCGTTATAATCCGCTGTCCACGAGACAAGCGGCATTAATTAAGCACAGAACGCAATTACAATAAGTGTGCCATTGCGATGTTACAAGGCAGCCAGATGCGAGAGAATTGCAAAACGCTCGTTTCCTTTCCCTTATATTACAAATCTACGTTTTTCATTAAGAAAAATTTTTAAGAAATTTTCAAAACAATTTCGAAGAAAGAAAATTTGTTTTTTTCTTTTTTAAGACGAAAACTATTGATTGCGATTTCAATATTACGACTTCAATATGACGACTAAAATACCGTTCTTTTTAATTAAAACCTTCTTTTATTTAGAAAGCATGAGATTTAACTTGTAAGAAAAATTAATAAACATAAATTTTAATTCTACTTTTTAAATTTTAAAGATCGTAATTATACATGGTATTAATATATTTCACTCATAGATTCATGGAGCATTTTTGGAAAGTTGAAGAGATTACAAAAGTTGAAGAGAAAACAAACAAAGAAAAATTGATATATAAAAATGGATCAGTTTAGAGTTATTTATTTAATTGCAAAGAATTTAAGCTCGTATTAGAGACAGGAAATTCTACTATATTCTACTATAAAGCGAAAATTCATGAGTATTTTTCTTCGATAAATATCAATTATGGTTTTTTGTTAAATCTTTTTTGTTAAATCATCTAATAGAATCCATATGATTTAGCAGATAAGATCAAATTTTAATAATTTATTTAATATCTCTGAATTAATATCTATTACAGAAGACGTTAAATCACGAATAATTCGAATCATTCGGCTCGAGCGTAATTATTCACAATTAAACAAATAAAAATAAATAGGTCGATTATACTTTCAAATAACATTTACATTTTTTAACTTATATCGTGTAGCGTATGATAAGTAAATTAGAAAGAATCAAGATCGGTGGAACAATTTAGAAAATAAAAAATAATATTATAAGAAATTTATAAATAATATATTTAATACGATTAATTTAAATTTATAATATATAAAAAGTTGTATTATAATTATTATTATGATTATTATTGTAGAATATTTTTAAATTTCTTTCTTGAACGTTGCAATCGGGTCTTCGCTTTTAGCAATTATTTCAAGGACGGAGAAAAAAAGTAGAGATTGGAGAAAGTAGAGAGAATCGATATGATTGCATCTGAAAGGAAAAAATGAACGTTAATACTCACAACAACGGCGAACCTGTGATTAGCACTACTCATGTGTGGCACATTCTTCAGCTACCGGTTAATTATCTTTCATTGTAACCGGCTCAATTTTTTTAAAACCGGTTCGAGTTGCCTCACTTCTCTGCCCACGATGCAAATTATGAACTCGAATAATATACATTTTCTTAAGTTACTTTATATCCTCCGTTGGTATTATGACTTCAATATTAAAATTCTTTTTATTTTTTATTTTTTTATTTTTTTATTTTTTTTTTATTTTTTTTTTTCGTTAATACGATCTTTCATTTCATCGGCGGATAATAAGACAGGTTGTCATTTCGTATTAACTTCGGTCATACGCAACATATCACTTTGTAATAATGTTTTGTCGAATCGAAAATTTACGAGCTTTTATAATTCTATATGCGGGATCAAATCGATTTAAATAAATATATAATAATAATAATAATAATAATAATAATAATAATAAATAATAAGGAATTAAATTTAAATGAACGAAGAACGAAATGAAGTGTATTTTCGATTTT